ACCAAACTATAGACAGACCTATAAAGTGAACAGTACTATCAGACAGGTATACACTCATTACAACAATCAAGTATGTGAGATCAAAAGGACAGTAATTGTCCAAGGATAGATCTAAGGTGAGAAAGAATGGGAAGGAAGGATAGGAAGGAAGAAGGACAGGAAGGGATGAGAGTAGAGTGGAAGTGGGATAATTGTTGTTACTGTGTGGGTATTGTAGCAAACGTCACAAAGCAGTAAATGTGTTTATTGTTGAATGGAAAACCAATTTGATCTGTAAGCTGTTACCTAATAACACACACACACACACATACATACACGACCTTCAGGAAGCCTATAGGCTCCCTCCCCTTCCTCTCATAATATGATCTCTGAAAGAATGCTTATTTAACTAAGCATCGGATCTCCATAGACTAACAAGATGCTAAACCGATACAAACTTTACGATTAACAAAACAATGCCTAAAGGATCTTATAACTGTCTTGTGATTGTTAAGGCATGATTTCATAAACATGGACTAATCAGAATTTTTTTCTTGTGAGTTTCTGAATTTCTGTATTTAAACCTATAAAAAAATTCCTTTCTCAGAAGAGTTTAGTTCATTTAATGGACTCTGCCTTTTACCCAATATTTGAATTATTTTTATTGCCATATTACAATTCTTTGCTTTAATTGTAAGAGATTCCATCTTATTATTTGACAGCTTGAGTATATTTTTTATAATACTGCAATGTGAGATCAGCTCCTAGATGAGTAATTTGCAAGGATTAAGAAACATTAACATTTTACACAATCAGCTGTAGAAGGTTAGCATTTATCTGTTCAGAAAAAGCTTTACTTCTCAAATTTGGGGAAGTTGTGGACACAGATTTCTTTAGTCATGGGGCTGGGTGAAGGGCAGAGGCAAGAGGAGCGAGACTGCTGCTTTGCAACAGCCATTGTTTTTCTCACTTCTTGCTACCAAAAGGGTTGGGGAAGAAAAATTGGGTAATAATGCCTTGCAATTATAAGCAGGAAATTTTCAGTCACCAATTTTCTGGTCAGTTGCTGAAAAACCCCACTGCCATCCAATTGATTCTGATTCATAGTAACCCTATAGGACAGAGTAGAACCACCCTACTGGGCTTCCAAATATGTAAATCTTTATGGAAGCACACTGCCTCATCTTTCTCCTATGGCGTGTCTGGTAGGTTCAAACTGCTGTCTTTT